TGCCCACCAAAGCACGGGTCGCTGCGATCTCCTGCAAAGAAAGCGGCTTAATGTACATATCGAGGTAAGCTTGCATCCTGTTCGCAGAATGCTTGCTGCTCTTGCGCGACAACACTACTTCCTTGGATGAAGCCTAGATCTTTTCTCATGGTGCTGATAGAATCAAGACTTCTGAGTGGATCTGTCAGGCCATCAAGCACAAAGTTCGTCCTCTTCATGTTTCTGAATTCTGCAATGGATTCTGTGACTATGTTTATTTGGAGTGAAGAACAATGTTGCCTTCTCAACACCTCAAAAGAGGGCTCGCGGCTGCTCCTGCGGCGAGTGAGCTCACATAGCGGCGCTCGCTCGATCTCGCTGCTCCGGCCGGCCATGTACCTACCTCCACCAGATTCATATAGCGGCGAAGCTGGTGTTCGAACTTGGATCTACTATATCTATATCTATACCAATATATAGTGTGTCAATAGATTCAAATATTATCTGTTGGATATGCTCCATCCAACGACCGATATATGGCAAATCCGAGCATTATCATCCGTTGGATAAAGTTTTCAACTTAGATTCTGCCACATTGCCTTCTAATTGAGCCCCCAACTCTACCATCTCATGTGTTCTAGAAGCATCTTTTCACATGCTTATCTGATCAAATGTTTTTATACATTTTTGTATATGTGATAAACATTTTCTCTATTCACATTTAACATTTTTCATATGCTTGGTCAGCATTTTACAAAAACAATTATAGTGTTTCTATATTATATATATTTAAAATATTTTAAAGCATAAACAAAAGTTAAAAATGAAGAAAAAACGAAAACAGAACATGTAAAAAAACAGAAAAGGAGGCTGTGGCCTCTGGCGCTCCTGAGCCGACCCATCATGGTCTCACCTTCAGCGAGCGTTCCCAAAGTCTCGCCGAAGGCAAGATATAGGGGTGCCCATAGCAACACACCCTAGGCCGCCCAAGGCGAGGGGCGGGGAGGAGGACGCACGTGCCGTCATGCTCTTTCCCGGCAAATACTCTATCGTAAGGAATGCTTACGTTGAAGTTGTCATGCTCTTTCCCGGCAAATACTCTATCGTAAGGAATGCTTACGTTGAAGTTGTCATGCTCTTTCCCGGCAAATACTCTATCGTAAGGAATGCTTATGTTGAAGTTCTCTCACTTGTTTTGATCTTTCCTCAGCCAAGGGAGAGTATGATACCATCGTACCCCCATCGTAGAGGGCACTGAGGTTTCCTCTCTTGCACACCTAGAAAAGGCGGCGTTATGTCAACCTACATGTATGCTTTATGGCTCTAGGCCGAGGCATAATGTCGCCTTTTCTTTTTTTCAAAAAGGGGGGATTCCCCGGCCTCTGCATCAGAACGATGCATACGGCCACATTTATTAAAAAGAGTAAATAAGGTTGAACAAGGTCTTAAAGTCTGTAAACAAAAGGAGCGGCAAGCTCACACAGAGCCTCAATGCCAAAACAGAAAGCCTAACAAGCCACAACCGGCTGGCAAATTAACAGATAGGTAAACTAATCGCCTATCCTATTACATGACCGTCATCCAAACCGGTTGAAGATATCCCACGCTACCATCTCCCACCGAACAGATCCAGTAACCAAACGCTCCCTGGCCTCCGTCGGAGTGAGTAAGGACCACATACGGATCAGCGCAGTAGCCCGGAATAAAACCTGCAAAAAATGAATAGTTGTTGTTCTGTTAAAAGCCAAATCATTTCTGCAGTTCCAAATTGCCCATAACAACGCACAAACTCCTACACGAATGTGTCTAGCTGTTTTGGAGTCTATCCCAGCAAGCCACGTCCCGAATAACGTGTTGACCAAAGTCGGGGGAGTAATGTTAAAGACAATTTGCACAGAGCGCCACAAGCCTCGTGCCAACGAGCAGTCAAAGAAGAGGTGCTTGATGGTCTCCTCCCGATCACAAAAACTACACCTAGTAGAACCTGTCCAGTTACGCTTAACTAGATTGTCCTTTGTTAAAATTACTTGTTTATGTACAAACCACATAAACACTTTAATCTTTAAGGGGACCTTAACTTTCCAATCCTCTCTGGAACTAGGAATCACACTTGAGTTAAGGATATCAATATACATCGATTTAACTGTGAACTTCCCAGATCTAGTAAGCTTCCACCACAATTGATCGGGCTGAGGATTTAACTGAACCCCCATCAATCTCCGAACCAAGTGAAGCCATGCTTTCCATCGGTCACCCACAAGCACCCTCCTAAACTGAATGTTGAGCGGAATGGACTGCAGAACCGTGGCAACAAGAGCCTCACGGCGCTGAACAATACGATAAAGGGACGGATACTGGGTCGCCAAAGGCGCGTCGCCAAGCCACGTATCCTCCCAAAATCGAGTGTCATTACCATTACCAACAATACAGCCATGCAAGAGATGAAACCTCAGTGCCCTCTACCAGATGGAAGATCAAGGTAACAACCATGTCGATATATTGATCCTTTTGGTTTCGAGTGGCGCGGCAAAGAATACATGTTAGGCAAAATATTGTCGAATATGGGCATTCGAGGTGACCACATGGATAGCCCAGCCTTCGCCCCGTATGTTGGCCCTTATTATAGGTTTTAATTCATATTTTACTACGATTTTCAGCTCGAAAAATTGTCGAGGAAGAGTATCCAAGTTAAATGTATAATTTCTATTGCTCAACAACAAAAAATAACTAACAGGATACGACAACAGTAATAATCATAATATAATACTAATAAGATGCACCTTGTCCAGAGTACAGACAGACTGTTGTAAGCTCGAGAGCACAAGCCACATACCATTGTCAAGTTTTCTTTTTCCCTACAATATTATATGTATATATAGATAACAAAAGAAGAGTCTTTGATACCCATGCATGACACTAGCTAGCTAGCCACTAGGAGTGGGTATCAAGGCCAGCATCTGGTTCTTGATGATACCCATGCACATCTCGATCTCCCTGAAGATGGGTACGTTCTGCGAGCTGCACGGCTGCAGCCGCGACAGCGCCGAGTCGAGGATGTGCGCCACCTCCGCGGGGTGATACTGCTTCTCCGTGCAGTTCTGATGAATCCAAATGATGGCCCATTAAATTTGTTAGAATTCATAAGATGACCAAGAAACATTGTGACAGAAGAATTCTCAAGAATAAATGATTTACTTACCTGTATC